ATCAAATGTAATGCATTTTGCTCCTGAAATTATCTTCACCATCTATGTTAAATCCTAAAGTGATAAGAGTTTAAGTTATATTTCAGCAAGTTTAAAAGTCTTATAAGTAAGACTGAAGGACATCCATCAGGGATCAAATGCAACTGCAATCTTAATATACAAATGGTTTAACTGTATAATGATTACTTCCTACAGAAGACAGCTATACCTATACAGTTCGCCCAGGTATAAAATTCAATGCACTTTCCTAACTACATCCACAAGTGATATCACAGCCAGTTATGGGTAGGTGGTGCCCAGTCATGTCAGAGTCTATTTAGAAAAATCGGATGTGTACAAATCCATATGGCTGGAGACAATGTACCCACGGGTGCCGAGGGAGTTGGCAGATGTGACTGTAGAGCTGCAGGCCATTATCTTTTGAAAACTCATGGTGATTGAGAGAGGTCCCCAACAACTGGAAATGGACGAATATAGTACCCATCCTTAAGAAAAGCAAGAAAGAGGATCCAAGGAACTACTGACCAATCAGCCTCACCCTCAGTCTCTGGAAAAATCATGGAGCAGGCGGCCCTCAAGCAATCCATTTCTAAGCACCTGGAGGAGAAGGCAATTAGGAATAGTCAGCATGGATTCACCAAGGGCAAATCATTCCTGACCAACTTGATAGCCTTCAACGATGAGATGACTGACTCTGAGGATACAGGGACACCACTGGATGTGATACACCTTGACTTTAGCATGGCTTTTGATACAGTCTTGCACAACATTCTTGCAAGTAAGCTAAGAAGTATGGGTTGGAAGAATGGACTGTAAACTGGATAGAAAACTAGCTGGTTCATCAGGTTCAGAGGGTATTAGTCAATGGCTCGATACCTAGTTGGCAGCTAGCATCAAGTGGAATGTCCCAGCGGTTAGTTCTGGGGGTGGTTTTATTCAATATCTTAATCGACTTGGAAACTGGGAAGGAGTGTATCCTCAGCAAGTCTGCAGATGACACCAAGCTCAGGGGAGGTAGTAGACATGCTGGAGGGTAGAGCTAGGATTCAGAGAGACCTAGACAAACTGGAGTACTGGACCAAAGAAATCTCACAAGGTTCAATAAAGAAAAGCGCAAAGTCCTGCATTTAGGATGGAACAATCCCACACACCAATACAGGCTGGGGACCAACTGGGTAAGCAGCAGCTCTGTCGAAAAGGACACGGGGGTTACAGTGGACAATAAACTGAATGAGACAACAGTGTGCCCTTGATGCCAAGGTGACTAACAGTATACTGGGCTGCATTACAAGGAGTGTTGCCAGCAGGTCAAGGGAAGCAATACTTTCCCTGTAGATGGCACTGGTGAGGCCACATCTGGAGTACTGTGTCCAGTTTTGGGCCCCCACTACAGAAAGGATGTGTACAAATTTGAAGAGTCCAGCAGAGGGCAACAAAAGTGGTTTGTGGGCTGGGGGAGATGACTTCTGAGGAGAGGCTGAGGGAACTGGGCTTATTTAATTTGAAAAAGAGAAGATGGGGTGAGGGGGGATTTAACAGCAGCCTTCAACTACCTGAAGGGCAGTTCCAAAGAGGATGGAGCTAGACTGTTCTCAGTAGTGGCAGATAATAGGACAAGAAGCAATGGTCTCAAGTTGAAGCAGGGGAAGTTTAGGTTTGATATTATGAGAAACTCTCTCATGAGGAAGGTAGTAAAGCAGTGGAACAGGCTTTAGAGGTTGTGGAATCTCCATCCCTAGAGGTTTTTAAGACCTGGTTAGACAAAGCCTTGGCTGGAATGATATAGCTGAGGAAGGTCCTGCTTTGAGCAGGAGGTTAGACTTGACCTCCTGAGCTCACTCCCAATCTTCCTATGATTCATTATAGTTGTAGTGCTTTCAAAGTAAATGCACGTTTTCCAAAATAACTTTAAGATACTCAATCCTTCCAAGCCTGGTAGTTGCAATAAGCTGTCCTACTGTAAAAGGAAGAGTGAACAGCAAAAACAAAATG